TGGGCTGAGCAGGACCAAGCAGGGCTCAGCTGGGCTCAGCTGGGCTGAGCAGGACTGAGCTAGGCTGAGCTGGGCTGAGCTGAGCTGAGCTGAGCTGAGCTGAGCTGAGCAGGACCAAGCAGGGCTGAGGTGGGCTGAGCTGGGCTGAGCTGAGCTGAGCTGAGCTGAGCAGGACCAAGCAGGGCTGTTCTGGGCTGAGCAGGACCAAACAGGGCCAACCTGGGCTGAGCTGGGCTGAGCTGGGCTAAGCTGGGCTGGGCTGGACTGAGCTGGGCTGAACTGGGCAAAGCAGGACCAAGCAGGGCTGCACTGGGCTGAGCTGGGCTAAGTTGGGCTGAGCTGGGCTGAACATGACCAAGCATGCCCACACAGGGCTGAGCTGGGCTGAGCTGGGCTGAGCTGGGCTGAGCTGGGCTGAGCTGGGCTGAGCTAGGCTGAGCTGGGCTTAGCTGGGATGAGCAGGACCACTCAGGGCTGAGCTGGGCTGAGCTGAGCAGGACCAAGCAGTGCTGATCTGGGCTGAGCTGGGCTGAGCAGGACCAAGCAGGGCTGCTCTGGGCTGAGCTGGGCTAAGTTGGGCTGATCTTGGCTGAGCATGACCAAGCAGGGCTGAGCTAGGCTGAGCTGGGCTTAACTGGGATGAGCAGGACCAAGAAGGGCTGAGCTGTGATGAGCTGGGCCGAGCTGGGCTGAGCTGGACTGAGCTGGGCCGAGCTGGGCTGAGCTGGACCAAGCAGTGCTGAGCTGGGCTTAACTGACCTGGGCTGAGTAGGACCAAGCAGGGCTGAACTGAAATGGGCTGGACTGGGCTAAGCAGGACCAGTAGGGTTAAGCTGAGCTGGACTAAGCTGAGCAGGGCTGATCTGACTGAAGCAGGCTGAGCAGGGCTGAGCTGGGCTGAATTGGACCAAACAGGGCTGAGCCGGGCTGAGAGGAGCTGAGCTGGGCTGAGCTAGACTCCCACCCCACCCCTGCAGAATGAGCTTCTACCCCAGGATGCTCAGCTGCTTCCTGGACACCAGGCTTCTCAGTGGCTTAGCAGGGTTTTCTAGGTCTGGCTTTCCGTTCCTGCAAAGGCCCTGTCCAAGACATCTGACTAGGTCTCATACAAAGACTACCCAAGGGTAGTGTTCAGAGGTGGGGTAGCAAGGACAGGCTGGCCAGCTCCACACTCAGGCCACTTGCAACCAGAGCAGGAGTAAGCAGGCCTGAACTGAACTGATCTGTTCTAGGCCGCCCTGGTCAGAACTGGGCTGGGCTGTTCTGGATTGAGTTACATTAATGGAATAGTGGAAATCAATCTGAGCTGGCCCCTGCTAGTACATTAGGAGAGAGGTGAGCTGAGCTGTAAAGAATGGAGCTGGGCTGGGCTGGGCTGGGATAACTGGACTGTACTGGATGTCTTGGCGGAACGAGGTTGACCTGAGCTAGACTGAACTGGGCCGTGCAGGTGTCTGAGCAGAACGGGACCTCGCTGGCCCACTTTGAGCAACTATACTAATTTGGCTGAGCCTCTGTGGCTGCACTGGGCTGGCCTGGTCTGGTCTGTGTTGGTTGGGCCAATGAGGGCCACAGTGAAGCTGGAGAGCTGTCCTAGTCCAGGCTTGCCTGGGTGGAGCCAAGCTGTTGAAAAAAGGGCTGAGCTATGTGCTGGGGATAGGGAGCCTCTGGGCCCAGCTGGCTGTCTCTCTGTGGATGCATCATGGCCATGGAGCCCAGTAGGCCTCTGCAACACTGCCCTCCCTTACCTCATTGCCCTGTTGTATTGTCCCAAGTGCCAGTGGGCAGTGCACCCTGAGTCGCCAGCTCTATCCCTGCAGGAGCACTGCCCTGGGCTTGCGCTCTGGTCCTGGGATCTGTGAAAAAGTCATGGTGCAGTGGGTGACGGGGTTGGGCCCTGCAGAGCATGTGTGAAGTGGAGCACCAATGGAGTGGCCTCCATAGTGCAATCTTCAGCCCAGGCCAGCCCTCCCACCCCACCCCTGCAGAATGAGCTTCTGCCCCAGGCTGCTCAGCTCCTGCCTGGACACCAGGCTTCTCAGTGGCCTAGCAGAGTTCTCTAGGTCTGGCTGTCCGTTCACGCAAAGACTGTGTCCAAGACATCTGACTAGGTCTCATACAAAGACTACCCAAGGGTAGTGTTCAGAGGCGGTGTAGCAAGCACAGGCTGGCCAGCTCCACACCCAGGTCATTTGCAACCAGAGCAGCCACCAGTCATCTGCGGGCCAGGTTCCTCTACCATAAGAGGTGGTAACATGGTTCTGACTTCCCTGGGGCATGGCAGCAGGGCCCCATCTTACAATATATCCCATGTTCCAGTGACTTCGAAGGCCCCCAGCGTATTCCCACTGAGCTCTCCAATGTGCAAAGACCCAGTGATCATCGGCTGCTTGATCAAGGATTTCTTCCCCCCGGCACCTGTGACTGTGACCTGGGGCAAGAGTGGGAAAGAAACAACCTTCCTACCTGTCCTGGATAAGGAGAGCGGCCTGTTCACCACAAGCAGCCAGCTGAGCCTACCAGCTGCCGAGTGCCCAGTGTGCTCAAATGTCACATGCTCCGTGCAGCACGCCACAAGTGCCATCAAAACAGTGGAAGTGCCCTGCCCAGGTCAGAGGGCAAGATGGGGTGGACTATCCTTCCTGCACCTGTGTCCCCAGTGGGGGCCCAGGAGCCACAAGACTGGACTGCCTGGCTCAGCCCAGAAGTGGCCACAGTGGAGCGGGGGGCTTAGGGATGGGCTGGAAAGGGGCAGGAGTGGGCACTGACCTGCCAGGGCCTCTCTCTCTAGGACCAAGACCACCAAAACCACCACCGTGTGACTGTTCCCAGATCAACCTATCGCTGCAGCGGCCATCCCTTGAGGACCTGCTGCTGGGCTCTGACGCCAGCCTCACATGCACACTGAGCGGCCTGAAGACCAACCAGCCAGCCTCCTTCTCCTGGGAGCCCTCAACCGGGAAGGAACCCATCCAGAAGCCTGTTGAGGTTGACTCCCACGGCGGCTACACCGTGTCCAGCGTGCTGCCTGGCTGTGCCGAACTCTGGAACAGCGGGACGACCTTCACCTGCACAGTCACCCACCCTGACTTTGAGGGCACCAAGACTGCTACCGCCAAAAAAGAGACAGGTGAACCCAGCCCCCACTCCTGCTCCCACGCCATTTTACAGAGGGAAACTGAGGGCAACTCAAGGGTCAGGGCCCAGTGGGGTACTCTTTGCTCCCCACTTAGCCCCTGACCCAGCTCTCTGCCCCACAGAGAACGTCTTCCGGCCTCAGGTCCATCTGCTACCGCCGCCGTCGGAGGAGTTGGCTCTGAACGAGCTGGTGTCACTGACATGCCTGGTGCGTGGCTTCAGCCCAAAGGAAGTGCTGGTGCGCTGGCTTCATGGGACTGAGGAGCTGACCTCTGACAAGTACCTGGTGTGGGATCCCCTGAAGGAGCCCGACGAGGGCGCCACCACATATGCTGTGACCAGCGTGCTGCGCGTGACAGCTGCGGCCTGGAAGCAGGGGGACTCCTTCTCCTGTATTGTGGGCCATGAGTCTCTGCCCCTGTCCTTCACTCAGAAGACCATCGATCACCAGTCGGGTAAACCCACCCATGTCAACGTGTCTGTGATCATGGCGGAGGCAGACGGCACTTGCTACTGAGCCTTGCTGACCCTGCCCCTTCAATAAATGCCATGCTAGCCCAAAGAAGCCCACGCTTCCATCTGGCGCCTGTCTGCCTGTCCATCCATCCTCTGGGTCTGCACCACAGGGGTAGGGGCCAGGCTGGGAGGGAAGAGAGACCCTCGCCCCAGCCACTGGGGACTTGAGTGCCAATGTGTGTGCCTGAGGGTGAGTGTGTGTGTGCCATGGCCATTTGCACATGCCTGTGGGTGTGTGCATGTGTGTCTGTGCCGTGCACATCTGTGTGTGCCTGCACCTGTAAGTCTGTACGCATGCCTGTGTGTACCTGTGAGAGTGTGTATGTATGTGCTTGTGTGTGTGAATGTGCATGAGTGTGCACATTCCTGTGAGTGGGCAGTGCACAGGAGCTAAGGCCCAGCCTGGTGTGAAATCTGAGGTCGGCAGTCTCTGAGGTGGCACCGCCCACATCGGGCCCTGAGAGTAGTGCAGTCATGGGAAGTGGCAGGTGTTAAAGTAGCGTGTTTGTCCTGGATTGCCATGGCTGCGGCCAGGGAGGCCAAGAAAGGGCAGACGAGCAGACAACCAGCTGAATTTGTGCCATTTGTAGCTGACCAGGGAAGGGGACGAGGGAATGAGAGCTGATTCCAGGACCCCCCTCCCAGGAGCAGGCACCTCTCCCTCACTGGGTCAGCTCTGGGTAGCAACACACAGCTGCATGGGACAGACACTGATTCATGCAGAAGGGGCCACCTGGGTGGGCATGTATCACCCCACACCACACTATCATCACCTGCACAAGGGCACACGTGCACACAGAGGCACATTCGCACACTCACATATGTCAGAGCTCTCCAGGTATAGGAAGTGCACAGCCCACACCCAGTTCCAGGAAAGCAGGGAAGTCCCCTCCCAGCCCCAGGGTTTCTCAGGCCCAGCCTTGCTATCCCCAGCCTCCCTGTGTATCCAAACTTCCCTTTCGGGTAGTCCCTGCTCCTAAGACTCAAGTTGCCCATATCCACCTGAGCCCAAGTACGACCAAACCACGGACAGGGCAGGGGCAGGCTTGGGAGAGGTCTGGAATAGGCCGGGACACTGTTCCCACATGGACCTCTGGACCTCTGGCTCTGTTGGGCCCCAAGAGCATAAGGAGAACAGACCATAACCCCTGAGGGGATATCTGGCACCCAGCTGCCCACAAGGGGGCAGCGGGGCCCCTGATCTTGCCTCTGGGCTTTCCCAGAGGACTTGGCTTCTAGAAGCTTCTCTCTGTTCTCAGACAAAAGTGGAGGGGAGGCCCACACACTCACCCTTGACACTGTTGCACCCTGACAGTCCCTTCATCAGAAGGCAATAGGGAAAGCAAAGGGACAATTGAAGAAATCTTGCCACAGAGAAGTGGTCCCATCACCTCATGGGACTCAGGACCTGTCCCAAAGGAGAGATTTTTCTAGAGAGAGAGAAAGGAGGAGAAATCAAGAGATGGAAGGCTGAATCAAGAGATGGAGATCAGGGCTGATAGGAAGATGGATGATAGGGCATATGATGAATGGAAGGGCAGGTGGATAGATGGGTAGATAGAAGATGGATGGGTGGATGGATGGATAGCTGGATGGGTGTAGAGTGGGTGGATGATATTTGACTGGAAGGATGGATCCATGGATGATTGGGTGAATGGAAAGATAGACAGAGGGAAAGATAAATGATTAGATAGAGTAGCACATGACCAGTAGGTCCAGCTCCCATGGGAAATGTATGCCCTGACACTGAGAACAGTGCTGTCTGTGCTGATAGTCTTCCTCTTGCCCTCTTTGCTGACTCCTCAACCACATTTTCAGCAAAGATAACAGAGGCCTCTGGCCATACCCATCCAGCCCTTGGCACAATGACGTTGATCCCACAGCCCTGGCCCAGTTCTCCCTGAGGGTTTGTCTGGTGCTTCCCAGCCCAAGAACCAGAGCTTGGTGAGAATTTGCCAAATACATGGACAAAGCTGAGATCCAGGAGGCCTTGAGCTGGCACTCTCCTTGGATTCTCAAAGACACTTCCCACCTTCCTGTCCTGCCAGGTGTCTCTCTAAGGTCTCCTGAGGGATAGGTCCTGGGAGCACCTCAAGAGCTGCAAGGGTTCCAGCCTCTTGCCTGGGACCCTGGCTCCTCATCCTCTCTGAGAAAGTCTCAGAATTAACCCCACTGTCACAGTTCCCAGACCCAAAGATGGCATAGGAGGTAGTTAGTCCTGGGCCCCTACCCATGTGAGTTCTTCATGTCTTACAGAGTGGCAAGAGCTGCCTCCCTGGGTCGTGCTGGACCAGCCACAGGATGTGCTGGAGGAGGAGGCCCCAGGTGCCAGCCTGTGGCCCACCACCATCACCCTCCTCACCCTCTTTCTGCTGAGCCTCTTCTACAGCACAACATTGACAGTGACGACTGTGCGGGGCCCACTTGGCAACAAAGAAGGTCCCCAGTACTGAGCAGGTGCCAGCCGGACATGGGCAGGAGGCAGGAGGGACACAGAGGGGATGAAGCACGGGGGTATTAGTCCCAGAGGGAGGATCACAGGTCCCACCACACAGGGCTCTTCTCTCCCAGGGAGCACCTTTTACAGACTCTGAGAACACCAGAGGGGGCTGGGGTCAGGGCTGGATACCCAGATGCCAGGCCGGGGATGGGACAGGGGCACTGCAAGGATGCAGACCCTCAGGAACCCCTCTGGCCCTGACCCTTCTTGTCTTTGTAGGAAGGAAGTATGGAGGAGCCTTCTACATGGAAAAGCTGAGACCTGTATGACAGCGCCTCCCTCCCCATCCGCACTTTATTTACTGTACAATAAAGTAATACCAAAGACAAACATTCAGACTCTCAAATGAATGTTCTCAGCTGAGGGGAGGGAACTGGGGAAGTGTGGAGGCACCAGACAAGAGCATGCTGCCTCAGCAAATATAAGGGTGAAAGGGCTGGATGGACATGGGTTGACCTTTGTCCTAGGTCTGAGACATGACCTCATCCCTCATAGGCTGAGACCCAAGGTTGAATGTTGGCCACACCAAGCCAGGGGGTCCAGCAAGGCCCATTTTCAGAGCTGGATCACATAATGGACCTAATAATTGGCCCTGATCCTGGTAACTAGAGACTCATGGTAAATAAGAACCACAGCTCTAGACAGTGAGAGTAGGTCTTGAACACTGAGCCTTGATTCAGAACATGAGCCTGATTCCTAAGCACATGATTATGTGCTTGCTCTTTCTCATGAGGGCCTGGTGCTGGCCACTGAGCCCTGGTCCTGAAAACTAGCCTGGTTTGTAAGCAGTGAAGATGGGACATGAACACTGGGACGGGTCTTTACCTGGTACAAAACACCGAGTCTTGGTCTGTACACTGAGCCTTGTTCCTAGACACTGAGGCTGGGTCCTGATCACTGAGCTGGTCTTTATTACAAGGACCTGATCCTGAATTGAACACTGGTCATGAATAATGAGTTTGATTCCTAAACACTGTAGGTCAGAGTCTCCTGATGACAAAACCAGGTTTTTGTTACAAGGACATAGCACTTAACACTGAGGAACCAGGCTCAGTGTTCAGAACCAGGGCTCAGTGTTCCTAAACATTGAGTCTGGATCCTGAGCACTGAGGCTGGTTGTGATCAACAGGTCCAGTCTTAATCATAAGATCCTGATATAAACACTCAATCCCGGTCCTGAAGACTGAACCTTGGTGCTGACAGTGAACCTGGTTCCTAAGCACTTGGGCTGGCTGTGATCAATAGAGTCCAGTCTTAATCACAATGTCCTGGTATAAACACTCAGTCCTGGTCCTGAATACTGAATCTGGTTCCCGCAGTGAGGCTGGTCAGGATCACTGGACCTGAACTTTACCATAGAGACCATCCTGAACACTGATACCTGGTCCTGAACAGAGAGGTTGGCTCCTAAGCACTGAGGCTGGGTCATGATCACTGGGTCTGGTCTTTATTACAAGAACTTGGTCCAGAACACTGAGTCTGGTTCCTAAAAACTGAAGTCCTACCTTCAGGCAGTCTCACTGAGGGTTCCCAAGGCTGGCAAGAACCAGCCTTGGGACTAAGCAGGCAGCGCAGGCATCTATATTGCCCATCTTCTTGGTACCATCTGAGATCTTGGCATGTACCCCCTGCTTAGAGAGGCCTAGAGGACAGGACCCCTGCAGGGCACAGCTGCAGGGAAAGGCACAAAGAGTACAAAGGCCAAAGCAGAAATTACTGGCAGCTGGAGCGAGAGCCTGGCCTGGTCAGGGCCAGGTTACTCTGTGATGGGGGCAGAGCAGCTCAGGCACTGCAACACCCAGGCCTAGCCACCAGCTTGCTGGTTGTCCCCGTCTGTGTCTGCTTCACTGTTGTCATGCAGGACAGGGCAGCTCCTACATCTCTGGGAGAATCCCACAGACCCAGGGGACCTCAGGCACAGGCTGAGAGTAAGGAAGGGAAAGACAGCTGGAACCCTGGGGCCGGGAATCCTCACATTAGTGTTCAAGGGGAACTCATATTGGACAGCCAACGACCAGCAGGGACAGCCATACAGGCCAAGGGACAGGACAACAAGGTGGCCAGAGAAGAGGTCAGAGAGAAACCTGGCCTGAGGCATATGTGGAGATGTGTTGCTGACACAGCTTGCAGCCCAGGAGGTGACAGGCAGGGTGCTGTGCCATCCCATACGGTTGCTGACCTGTCCCTTGCAACTTGAGGCAGCTGCCTGTCCACCAAGTCCCATCTGTAGCAGTGCCAGGGCCATCTCTGCTTACCCTCCCTGGGTTAGGGTCTTGGACGGGCCCCTGAATGTACCTCCAACTCCCACACATTCCCTCCTGCCTGGGGACCTGATCACAGCCATGGAAAACAGTAGAGGACCATTGATTTCAATCATCATTACTTGAGGGGCTTGTGACCAGGGTAGGCCAGCCCTGGGGTGGGCAGGGGTCTCCAAAACTCGACGCCTGGGCCACCCAGCTCACTAAGGGGGGCTCTGAAGTTGCAGGTGGGGCTAGCAGCTATTTTGGGAAACAGCCTCAGAGGCAAAAAGCTAGTTTCTCAGTGTG